GTTAACAAGTTGCGGTTTACAAGTTTGCTGACTGGACAATCGGGTGAATCCATCTACTTAAATCTAGAGACTTTTAAATGCATAATATATTATGCACCATTGCGAGTACATTTATAAATTAAACATAGATAGATACATTAAGGAATTAAGAGGACATTAAAACTGTTTTAGATTTCTAACGAATTAATCAGACTTTATAAATTGATAAGGAATGACGATAGCGATTACCGATTGTCCTATTGGAACAGAGAGAAGGAAGTTAATACAAAATTTGAAACTCGATAATCGATAGATCATAACAAAATGTAAAATTTTAGTTACAGGATGATTAGGGTTTTATGGACTTTTGGGTAGCAAAGCGTCATTTAGTTCAGTTTTACGAGATTCGATTTCATTTTATAATGATTTTGATGCAATTTCACGTCGGAAGAACGGTTTTGGGTAAAGTACTACTAGACATGAGTTCAAAGAATTTATAGTGGCGTGCTACGTTAATAATTCAAAAGGAGACGGCTTTTTCGCTGATCTAAGTTGAACAACTTAATTTGACATCGTCACTTAATTCATTTCATCGTAAAAGACAAGAGAGCGGCAGCAAAGTCGACCGGTCCGTGGTGCACGTCTCTGTCGGCAGCTTTCTCCTTTAGCGCGCGACTGGATCCACCTCTGGTGTGTGTGTTCAATACCCCAAGCGAGCGAGTATCGATCGTATGAACGAATATATTCAACGCATAAGGGCATGCAATTTGTCATCGGTTTTTGTAATTGTCGCGACATTTTAATTGTGACTCTTTTTACAAACGACGGGACGGCTAATTGATATCAATTATCAAGATTTACTGGGCCGCTCGTTCGTCGATGCGGCCCGGATTTATAAATACGCGCGCCATTATAAATTCTAAATAGGTTAACCGAGTAAGAACAAGTTGACAGCTCTATAATACCGGCAGCCCAGCGACGTGGCTTTCAAAATAATGAAACGGCAAGAAGAAAAGGGCCTTCGGCTGTTTCGTCTTCGCCAAGTTCATCGCTTCTTACTCTTATACTTACAGATATCGCTAGAGATGTGTAAAATGTTTTTTTTTAAGTATTTAAATACAAAATGCAAATATTTTTTTGATTTGTTATTTCAAATGTAAAATACAAAGTAGATTTCCCTTTTGTATTTAAAATGCAAAATACGTATATTCAAAATACTTTTTTCCTTATTAGCCTTTGTCACTGTTTTAATTGGAAAAGAGGCACTGATGACAAAATAGTTTCCTTAGCGTGAAAAATCAGAGCCGCAATAGGGTTGCAAAAAATTTTATTGATGTAAAATCAATATCAACCATTTAAATCAAAATATTTACAACCCCATTTTGTTTCTGATCTTTTACACATTGTAATAAGAGAAAGAAATTGAATCCATAGTTTCTTTAGCTTTGGGTTCATCTAATAAGTGAAGTTTTTTGAATCGTTTTCTAAGAATTTTGGATTATATAGATACATTTATTAGCACACCACAACATCATAGTTTTCAGTTTTACACAGCTGGCGTATATCAATTCGATATTGTTTTGCGGGTTGTTTTGTCGTAATTCATAGAATTTCGTAGTTCCTTGCTAAAGGTACGATAAATGGTGATTTGGCAGGTGCTGATATCAATTTGGAACTTCAAAATTCCATGGACCATGACATTGAACCCGGAGAACAATATCGATCCAATATTTTACATTATCCATTTCCAAAGAGTTTAGAACTTTTTGGGCTCTGTTCAGTTAAACAATTAGAAGGCATTCATGGAATGTCTCTTTGTTCCATTTTGAAGCTTAAAGAATGGGTTTAAATTTCTACAACCGGGTATGTAGTTGGTTGCATATACCTACATGTATCATAAAAATGTCAAAGTATTATATACAACCACTAGTGTCCAAATTTGGACGGGTTAAGCTAGTAAAATTATATAATAGCCAAATTAACTTTGTAATTAATCTTTAATTTTCAATCTGCAAACAAATAACTTTAACAGAGTGGCTTTGATGACGACTAAAGATTGTAAGTAAATTGAATTTTCATAAGATGTGATTACGTTTCAACAAGTGTAGTTATAGCTGGATGGGTAAAAAGTTACGGAATTCGGTTTGGGCCCTCTGGCTTCCAGTTGATCATAGCCTTCTTTGAAAGTGCGTATCGATTACGAGCCACATTAGCAGTGTACTTTTACATATTCGAAGACCACCTTTAGCGGCTTTTATGATTAATGTAAATATACGTTTACGCGCTGATGCGATCATGTCCAGTATTACAGAGCATTAAAACAAGAATCTCATCAACGCCTCCGTTGTTGCGAACGAGGTGGATAATCAGCTGTCTTATTAATTTAAAAAATTTCCAAAAGTACTTTTTCGTTTTGGTATAGGTATTAATTATGGTCAAATGGACTCAAAAACTGTAATTTGCGACTGTTCATTGCTATAGGGCGAATAAATTCGATGAAAAGTGTTACAAAAAGCGTTATTAACAAAAAATTAGTTCATCAGAAAAGAAATCTTCAATTTACTACTGAGCTTGTTTTGATGTGATCAAAAAACGTAAAGGATATTTCATGACTTACGACCAAGGTGGATTTTGCTCATCGTGTCATGTACGACTTATTCATATTAATGTATAGTCAAATCCGGTGAGGATCCAAATAAGTCATTATTAACTATATCAATCAAATCATGAAACACAGGAACTACAAAAATTTTGTTTTATTACGAAAAATATACCTGAATAGTTATTAGTTTAGGAATTTTTACAAAAAACATTCGAAATGTGGTGATACAAGCGAATGATAAGGTGTCGTGGATAGAGAAGGTTAGAAATGAGAAGGTATTAGAAAGAATAGGCGAACAGAATTCAATACGGATGTCAATAAGGAATAGGTGAGTCTGAGGCAATACTTTTATGCATAGGTACCGAGTAAAGTTGTAAGGAATGATCCAAAGTGTGCTCAAGGAAGCAATAATAGATACTAACTACTATGACAATGTTCTGTTAGATGAACTGGTGTATTATCTATTCCCATAAATGAAGAACATGTGAATTAATTAGAGAAAAAACTTTCTATTTTAGAAAGGGGAGTTTGAGTGCGACGAGGACTTCGACCCTCCCTGCCATTATACTTTTACCGTACCGTTTTTTTTTTGTCGTGGGTCATCGAGTGGGTGGAATCAACCTATTCGATTTCGACCTTATTTGCCTAACAATACAAAGAAACAGGCAATTAATTACAAGAGCGTGACACCAGATCACACCGATTACAATGCCTCTCATTTCGTTCGACGAAGAAAAGTAGGCTAGATTCGGTTGCAATTTCCTTGGTCATTAGCGTGAGGTAAATATTCAGAATAGACGTTCGTAGTTATTAAAGGCGGTAACGCACAAAGGACGGCCCACAATCAATTTAGAACCCCTATAATATATGTTTGTTGCGTAACGAACTGGATTTCTATTTAGTCGAGTCGAGGCAGGAATTCGAAGAGGGAGGGAAACAATGGTATCTATTTTCGGATTGTATTGAGTTTCCCCCATTGTGTTCGTTGAGCTTAAGCTAATTACTTTTAAGGAAATCAATGAGCAAGGTAATCACGAAGACATGGAAATGGTATTTTGTTCTTGAAAATTGCGTGCCGCTTGAGCGCGCTTTCTTTGTTCTGAATTCGATAGAAACTTTAATTTGGTCATACACAATAAGAAATTACTTAGTCGTCATCAAAAGACCTTCGAAATTTCGCTGCGTTTCTCGAAGTAGACAAAGTAAAAGCAAAACATCAATTAATGAACATACCTTAGCGGTCAGAATTGTGGTACAACAAAAGAAAGAGATGGAACAAAGTTTCGGACAATTTCCATCTCTCTCGCGATAGTGCGTAAGCGCGTCATGAAAGAGATAGCACTAGTCCGAAACCATACGCCATCTCCCTCACTTTTCGAGCCAAGAAATTATTACAACGACATACGGCAAAGGCATGTCCATTACTATGTCTATGTCTATGGATTGTACATATCTCAAATATTGACTCGTGTCAACCGTGTACCTAAACGATGAGACCAATGCTTTTACTAAGAAATAGAAATCAATGAACACGCTTCAGAGTTCTGTCGTGGCGCAATCCAAGGTCATAGTCCATGAGATTCTAAACCACCTCTAACTTCGGGGTATCACTATACTGGGTAGGTGGTTGTTTTTGAGAATATTATTGCCTTAAGTGCGTGTTATGTCTGATTTGAATGCATACCAATCTTCAATTATTACATGTTTGTGGTTAAGTATTACCAACAATGTTGCCATCAGCGCTACTACTAACGGTGTTAATGATTTTATGACGGTATAAAAGCTACCATACTTACGACCAGCACCATTGAGGCATTGAAAATAACATAACTACGTGGTTGTTAAGACAGATAAATTACCTGAAGCTGTTAAAAGTAGTTGAGAAACTTCAGATTTTATGATTGTTTTGCAATAATCTACTGCCCATTAGCATTTAACTGAAGTGAAACTTTGCGAAGCATATTTAAATATTAACAGGCAACTAATTGGTTTCCAAACAAAACGATAGCAATTTGGCTTTAAACTTTCGGTAAAAACTTACTGTGCTGATAATTTATCCAAGTCCCACTTTAAATAAGAATATAATTCTAGGTAATAAAATGCTAGGCGCTTTTACAATCTACAACAAGGAAATTGGAAATGTCATTAAAAGTTTCCATCATCAAAGTACATGTAATTTTGTAGATATTGCTGAATATTACGCAGGCCAAGTAGGCAACAAATCGGCATGTTTTTAAAACGAATAGTAACACGCGCATGCGCCCTGGAGGCGAACAGATACTGATACTCATATCTGGTCTAATTCGATGAAATTACTTGTTGGATCAATAGACTACCCTCTAAAACACTCTGATAATGAATTGTATTTGTAGTTAGCATCATCACCTATTTAAATATCTTTCCTGATTTAAAATTACAGTGGCATCATCTCCTTCGCTGTCGTCGTCGGTTGTTTGTTCGTCACCGTCGGTTTCGTCCGCAACCGCTAGCCATTTGCCGCCGACAGCTCTTCGAGATTTGTATGGATCAGCCGGAGCGCCACCAGGACATCCCATCGCTTCGCTCTTGTCACAACAGAGGCTCCTGGAAATGTCCAGGTTCGGATTCAGGCATTTTGATTTGGCCCAGCATATGCTCAGTCAGCAAGGAGCAGTCACAAAACTACTAGGTGAGTTCTCAGCAATTCTATACAATACGTGTATCTACTCATTTACATAAATAAGAATGCGGAACAATCTAACGATTTAAAAGTTGAAATGTAGGTTTTATTAAACTATTTTTAGCAAACAGAAAGCTGATTGATTGAGATTTTGTTAATTATTAATGGGGGAAATGCTAAACAGCAGTTTTCAGTGATTATTAAATGTATTCCATACGAAAATTCAGATCAGTACTTTTCTGAAATGTTTTTAAAGCGTGGGTTTGTGTTTCTAAATATGCCCAATTATATTTTGACCCTAATGACATATTGGTGAAGATTTTGGAAATATGAGAAATCTAATCTGTGAAAAATGTACTTAATATTGTCATTAATCGTTTCAAATGAAAAATCTGGTTTAAACAGAAAATTAGTAAACTGGAATTAATCAGGTAATAGCAAATGTTCATGAATGTGTCGCATGATGCAAGTAGTGAATAATATAAAGCTTTAAGCGCTACACCTACGAGTAGTTAGGTACATAAAAAGTTGCAGAAAGTTATCGTCTTAATTCTCATGCAGCCATCAATTTATTGTTTTTGCTGTAGTCATCGTCATACATCGTGTGTTGGTAAGAAACCGTCATGGTCTGGTCGCAAACAAACGGCGGAAGACGAGCAAAGCGTCAGAGTAAAGATTGACTTAAGACTTTGCGCTCTGTTATTATTTGCAATATTATTTTACATTTCGATAAGTTGTCTGATTGCCCCTCTCTTTGTGTAGGTACTACCGTGGTCGGTTCGGGCAATCTCCGTTCAGTATCTGCATCCACAGATTTTGCCAGATACATATATTTTTTTATCGGACTGGTCGCAATAAGAAAATTGCAGCAATTATTATTATTTTTCAGTGCAATAGTCAGGCATCTCAGTAATCTCTCCGAAGGTGAGATGACCACTAGTTTATAATTTTTTGAAGATGCAGTTCAAATTTTTAAAATAATTTACAAAGAATCGCTCCCAAAGAAAAATTGGAGAAGTTTACGAGAAAATGGTTTAAACAATACAAAACAGCAATTTACGTCTTATACAATAAAGAAAAAATTACATTAATTGAATTACAATCGAAGATTTGTATTGTACGTATTTGTCAAACTTCAGTAATCACATTTTACCTTAATATATTACTGATTATTTATATTCATATTTGTGACAATCTGGATTATTTTAATGAAGAATAATTTATAAAATTACAATTTCATAAAAGGTATTACTTTTATTAACGGCTGGAATACCTGCTGCTGCATTTACTTTTGAAGATTGCGAGGTTTCTCGCTTGACTCATCGTTGATATCTCCAAGGTTTTTCGACAATATTGGCATTGGTGATTATCCGATTTTAATAACTTTTTTTTTGTTGGAAAGCTTATATCTTAAGGGTAGTCTCATATAAATTTGAACTGAATATCCCACTTCCAAAGGTGGAAAACAGTGGGAGAAATAACGCAACCTCGTTTTTTCGGTCAGATCTTAACTTTTTAGTTCAAGTTTGTGTAGTATACAATATATAGGTAATATTTAAGGGGACAGTTTCTAAATCAAAGTCGAACACAGTGCTGGGTGTCTTTTTAATACTGACAAAATTTAAAAAACTTAAAATAGTGTTAAAAAAATGTTTGCAGGTATGGGATTGGCAGATTAAAAACTTACTGAAAAATCATACACTTAATTCCAGTTTGGTACTGAAGAATGTTGAATATTTAATGCTATCAGATGTACATAAGGCGGCCCTAATGATGTGCAAACGCAGTGAAACTATTCATAAAATTTTTGATTAATGGTATCCGCCCTTCAGGTATAATTACGGCTAGGTATAATTAGAAATATTACCTCTCTTATTTCGTTATATGGAGTGTGTTTATACCGCGGAATGCGAATCGTTTTGCCAGTACGTGTGTGTGCAACAAGATTATGAAAAGCAATGTGCAGACTTCCCTAATTGGCTACTGACAAATCGTCGGTACCAGCGAGACCGTGAGGTCCCATTTGTAACTTTACACATTAGGATTACTTACCCGAGCAAAAAGATAATTTTTTTACACGTCTGCGATTAATTACAACGAAAAGTGTTGCATACCGACAGAAAAAATTCGCGGATTGTTAATGCATCCACAGGTAGGTTTTTGAAAGGCATGTATACATGTATTTTTATGCCTCAACAACTTTTGTATTCACTTTGCTGTCTCGAAAATTAATTATAAAAGTGGCAGTCAGTGCGTCTTTTAAGGGTCGAACCTATTACCTATTAAAATAGTTAACTTTACAGTTGTAACTACAATTTCTTTGTAATATTAATATAGTCAAGTTAGCATTAAGTTGGATCACGATTTCAAACTTTTTGATCCTTTTCAGAAGTCACAGACAATTGTGGCAGTTTACCGACGGTATATTTGGTCACCCATTAAGAACTAGTCAAAATGTAAATTCGGTTACTCTGTACTTTAACCCCCTTTAGCACTAGAGTAGGGGTTAGAACATAAAGTAGTATTTACACTAACCTAATTTATCTACCGTGTCCGGTGAAAACTAAAACAATGAAAAGTAAAAAATTAATAATTCCAATGAATGAAGAATAAAAGCACATCAAGTATTAATCCAAAATCTACAAATCGACGTTTCAACCTAAATTGTGGACTTTATCAATGTAGCTTGTAGCTTTTTTAGTTACAGATGCTATCGATTATTAAACATAAAGGTAAGATCCCCGTCTTTGTTACACTGAGCGGCATGACCTATGTAGAGGTTTAGACGTTGCTTAGCATTCGGGAGGACGCCGGTTCGATTCCGAGTCCCTCTGCCTCGATCCAAGTTTTTTTGTGGTTTCCTTGGATCACTTAAACAAATTCTGGGGCAGTAATATTCCACAGATAATCTTTCATTCTCTTCTGTCTTTCATTTCGTCCGTCTCATCTTTCTCGCCCGAACCACCACCCACCCATTCCCAAGATTCCTGAAAGGCGGCTGAATAGGGGCTTTCGCCCTACCTTCCAGCTTAGTTGGGAGGGTCTGCCCGGCCACCAGCTTTAGTGGCTGGTGGGAATGAAACTTTTTAGATAGTTGTTATAATATACATGTTATACTTCCGATAAGTTCTTTTTTCTTGCGTCTACCTGAGCATAAACTGACCAAATTAACTATTTATTCTTGTGGGCTACAGAATCGTTCTGGTTGAATTTACGAATTACTCCCAGATGCGGAAGTTGATATCGTCCAACCGAAACTGCTGCTGGTTGTATCGGTCAAATTAATGAATGAAACCACAAATGGCAAATTTCAATAAATGGTGGTCACTGCTCATCTGTCTGTAGTTCGATATTTAGTAATTAACTTAAATGAAATTATAGTGACTAAAGTATATGAAATGTATTCTTCAAAATGATTTGTTCAGTATGGGACATATGAAGAATGAACAAGTTCCAGTGACCTATTCATTATAATTCATATGATATAAATATTGAATTGAAATTTAGGTATAGGTACTATTATCGTATCAAAAATTATTAATCGTAAGTATGGAACTGTATATAACAGTATATTATGTTTTGATATTTCACCGTAACAGTAGCTTGGTGCTAACATCGATATACATATTATAACACTTGGCAATTTTATGTAATACCGTCGGCAAAACTGTCTCGATTACCATATAAGTCATTCGAATATTATTCAAACGCAATAAACTCGGCCGATATAATAAAACATTAATACAGACAGGTAGGTATATGTGACGTTGCCGCGCATTGATAAGCGAAGTAAGAGTCGAGTCTCGTATCTGTTTCCCATTGTAAGCATCGCGTAGATTAATTTGAAAGTAAATCTGCTACTGAATACGTGGTCGTGTGTGTGCTTGCAGGCAGTTGGTGCATGCAATTAGCTCGGAATTAAAACGTAATCTAATTAATATTCATAGCAGAACAAATTGCTACCTTCAGGTACATTCGTACACAGGAAATAAAACGGTAGCATACCGAGCTTGACGTGTACCCGGGCGAAAAATAGTCAACTGCCCATTATGTGAACGTTTACTTGCGGACGATTCGCAAAACCGCTCCGGGCGCCTGCTCTTTTGCCACTTCCATCGCTGCAATCTACAGGGTGTCCCAAACTATAACTATATCAACAACCGAGAGACTAGAGATTGTCTCTCCTTAAAAAGGCGAATAAAAATTATGTAGTAGTGTGCCTCTTAAGTAATTCTAGTGGAGTAGAAGTAGAAATATGGTTTTATTTAGTAAATGCAGCATTTATACGGACTGGCAAAGTATAAAATGTTTTTTTGTCAATTATAGGCTACTCAAAAAACGCTGATTTCACATTACCAAACATTGATTCGTCTGTTAACCATGTGCTTTGCTATACAACTAGGACTTAGACCCATGGGAATAGATACAGGGCGTTCAAGTATTACGTAATGAAAATTTGGGGGGGGGGGGACTCGTAACGTTACGATGCGTTACAGGGGCGGGAGGGGGTCTGTCTTATAACAGATAGGAAAAGATGTTTCAACAAAACTGTTTATTCCTCGACAATTGTTTCGACCTCTAAAAGGTCATTTTCTACTACATACTCTTGAAAATGACCTTTTACAGGTCGAAACAATTGTCGAGGAATAAACAGTTTTGTTGAAACATTTTTTCCTTTCTTTTCCTTTATTGAAAATGTTTCATCGAGAAAGTTTAAATATTATTAAAAAATTAAGAAATTAAAACTACCAAGTTGGCAACCCTTTTCGTTTACGTTTTACGGGGAATCCCTCGATTGTGTTGTACGTTATTTAATGTTGTTTTCGTTGTCAGTATTCGTTAGTGTTTATGCAGAAGAACATTGCTGTAGCCGGTGTTATTAAAGTGAGTTCATAGTGTTCATACTGTAATGTCTTCAAAAGAGGTTGCCAGCGCAACTGTGTCAAAAAAATGCTAACGAAATTTGGAAAACGGCTAAAGAAAAACTAAAAAAATAAAGAAAAGTTTAT